CATGCAATCTAAATTCTTCACATGTGCAGTTTACAGTAAGGTTTGCCCTCCTATGAGAATCTAATGCCTGATGATCTGTCATGGAGCTGAGGTGGTGATGGGAATGGGAAGCAGCTGAAAATACAGATGAATGAACAGGAATGAAAAGTAATTTAGATCTATCTGGATTTTTCTTTAGTTTTGCCAGCTATCTGTGCAGGATAGGCTGGGCTGCAAAGGAACAGGACTCTTGAGAATTTGGGAAATCTTTCTCAATCAAATAGATAAATGATTCTGTTTCTCTTCAGCAGACATCTGAGATAAGCCACCAAACATTTCTCACAAAAACAGGATAGAAATACATAAAAAACTTGTATTTGAATATATCTTTTGACTCTCATTTTTGCTTTGCTACAAATTTATGAGAACAAATACAGAACAGAATTTTAATAAATTCCCAGGAATTGTGTGGATTCTAAATAACACTTTTGAGAAGATGCTAAAAATCCATTTGTGAGGTAATGCCTGCTGTAAAAATTGTCTTTCAACATAGCATAGTATAGAACAAGTATGACACAAAATAAATAAACATTTTCCTTTTCGCATGTTTTACCTGCTGCTTTTCCGGAAGCCCCATAACAACTAAAGGAAAGATGGATTTCATTTTCCAAGGTTGCAGAAAATGATCCAAATTTGCTCAGAGGTTTTCCTTGATTAATTGGTTTTTCTAAAATAAAAGAAAATGAACAATAAATTCAGGTAATTCTTTTTCTTTTTGGAGGGGACACCTTACAAATATACGGTATTTATTCTCCTCAGAACTTGGAACAGTACTGGAGACAGTAGAGAGGTAACTGTTTTGGAACGATTAGAGGGCTTCTTTACCCACACCCCTTTATTTTCCCTTTGCCGCTGAACTTGTTGTATTAACTGATTGACACTAACAGTGATACTGAGAGGAGGGTAACACCTAGAGGATTATAAATTTGAACCGTGAAGTCTGATGCAAGAAAACCATCGGTGACGTAAGCTGAAGTATATATATAGAGAGAGACAACAATTACTAGAATTGAGCACCTGTATAACTGATACAATTGAGAGACATCTATTTATATAAGATAACAGTGTGATATATAACTCTATGATATATAATAACTAAGGATCAAAAACAGAATAGAATAATACATAGGAATGTTTAGATATTTAAATGTGATATTAAGGAAAGTTAATTATTGTTAAATACTGAGATATATAATTATTGATACCATTGATATTTCTGATAAAGCATGGTATTTGGGAGGGGAATCATTATGTGCTGGATGAATGTTCTAGAAGCTGTCCTGACCATCGCTTTGCGCATGTGGAGAAAGGGAGTTTCCCG